AGTAATGATTTAATATAAGTTGTACAGTTAACGCAATCCTGAATACATGTCAAATGTGCAGCGAACCCAATCCTTTGGAACACAGAATATACGCTGTGAAATACCCTGACAAAAAGAAACATTTTTGTTATTATTAAGCTTTTTCTCAGATTGACTGTTCAACACACACAAAGACTGACAGATCGATGTTGATATCGACAGAAAGATTTAGTAAGTACAAAAAATTATTCATCTTCCTGTAATGTACTTTTGAAAAGAAACATTCTGACATATATTTTTTCTACGATTAATTGTGACAGAGAGTCAGACATTTCGCTGTTATATATACATATATGTAGATATTTGAAAATGATATTAACTTTGAAACTACTCAGTACCTCTAAGGTTCATAGAAAAACATCAAAGTTATATCACATCCCTAACGTAATATCATAAAAATTCATTATCATTCTTTCAAAGTGTCACCAGATTTGGGTCATGTTACATTTCGAGTAATATTCTATTTACTTTCTGATAAGAGAAGGTACTATTTTTTGTTACCTTTTAGTTTATTTGTAGGCAGTCCGTTCTATTACGCCGAATCATAACTCTGTATTAATTGTATTATCTATTCTGTGTCGAAATCCTTTTAACTTTTATGCAAGAAAGCAAGTATCGAACAAAATTAAAGAGAATGGTCTTCTTATCTAATAGATTAACACTTAAATGGAGTTAACTTGTCCCTTATAGACCTTATCTTTATTTCTTTATGGCTAAGGCTTACCCTTCATTATCTTCTTGTTTCTTAGCGTCATACAGTTTGACTCGGCCAGTACTGGGTTCTTATGTTGGTTTTCAGTGTTATACAGCTTATATAGGCCAGTACCTCGTTGTTATTGTGGTTGTTAGCGTCATACACTTTACTAGGAAAGAAGCTCATCTTATCTTGGTTTTCCGCATTATAGTTTGACTAGGCCTGCACATCGTTCATATCTCGATACTCAGCATCATATAGTCTGACTAAGATAGTATCTATCAGTGGTATACAGTTTGTGTAAGCCAGTACCTCATTGTTGTCTTGGTCCTCACCGTCATAACAGTTAACCAAATCAGTTACTTACAATTGCTTCAACGTTGAGTATTTTATAACTGATTTCCGTGGGTTGATCTTACAGCTGTTACTGTTTTTCATTTATCTGAGATTTTAATATAATGTCAACACCGCACGTCAGTTATTTAGCTCATTAAAATAAAATGTCTGTTTTTAAGAAACAAAAAAAAACAAAAACACTACACAATGGGTTTCCTGCGATTTATTCGTCGAATTTAAAAACATAAATCAAGATATTGACCATGTAAATTTTTATTTCTGAAACTCCTAATAGTGAGATTTGCCAAACACAAGAGAGAACTTGAAAATATTATTTTAAATCATTCGACTCATAACACGTTATGAAGTGCTACTTTTAGCATCATTAACACATTATGAAGTGATACTTTCAGCATCATTAACACGTTATGAAGTGATACTTTTAGCATCATTCCATCTCTTGAGTATTAAGCTATAGTAGCGCATGTACCAGAAAAAAAGAGTTGACTTTTAAACAGGTCTTTCTTAATATTTTGGAATTTTCTCTCGTGTGCGTGTTTGCATAACACACGTTATGAAGTGATACTTTTAGCGTCATTCTTATCTCTTGAGTATTAAAGTATAATATTAAATAAACAATTATTTTTTTAAAAACAGAGCTGATTTTGAAACAGCCATCTATTATAATATTACTCAGTTTGCTCTGTCCTAAAAAATGCGCGCGCACTTCATTTCAACGGATGTAAACAAAAGGCGGTTGTCAATATACTTTAGTAGACATGTTGTACAATATATTAAAAGCTTATCAAAGTTTTAAAAAGGTCTAACGTTAGGTCTTAGAATAACATTGTAAATTTATATGTTGAT